GTCAGGGTGGTGAAAGAATTCAAGAACCCTCGAAAGATACTGGGTAAGAATCGACTCCCCACCTACGCCGGGCCAACTGAATCAATACGTGTCTGCTCCTTTCCGTGGATTTACAATATCTCCCCAGATCACAGGACTGAACGCAACCTACTATAGTGAACCATTTAAAAAGCTGGTATTTGGCAGGAGCTTCTCTAGAAGTTCCTGTGGTTTCTGAACCGGACCACCTTAACAGCCGCACACCATATTTCAAGAAGATAACGGCAGACTGAGAGATCAGCAAAAGTGGTGAACAATAATGGATACAGTTAGAAAGGTAACAATTACCTGAGGTATATAGCCGTGAGCAGCCAACGCTTCACAACGTGCGAATCGCACTTCAATTGGCTCCATTGGAAGGTACGCCGCAGCAAGCACTGCATCCACTTCTTCATGGGCAGCAGATAAAGCACCTGCCTGACCATCGCCTAGCAGACCTGCGGACGGTGGAAGCTGAAAATTGCATTATACTCACTCTGAGTAATCCATAACGTTTCCAAAGCTTCCACAACTATGTTGATAGGATTATAAAGACGAGCAATAAAAAGACGTTGAAGAAATGGTTTACCTGTACATCACTCTCTTGACCCGATTCCGAACTGTCTTCTTCGCGCAGACTGTCACGATGCCTGGCACGTCCATGCCGGTCGCAATCTCCCTGAAAATTCAGTTTTTGCGTGGAGCATTTAGCGCAAAACCCATAAAACTTCCAAAAAAAAACCAAACAGAATAGGTCAATAATGTTTATGGAAGGCTAGCCAGAACCATTAACATTGTTTTTCACCGTCAGGACATATCGTGGGTTGAAGACCCCACGGAGGAGGTTGTATTTGGTCGCTAGAGGAAGAGGGACAGCAACTCCCCTTTATGAGAAGGGTTTTTGGTAACTGACTTTTCTCATTTTTCCCGATTCGCGAGCGCCACACTCCCCCCCCCCCTCCCTTTCGCCTGAGCTCGATGGCAGTGCTTTAGGTTGCAAAACTCCGGAAATGGGCTGAAAGTTGAGAGAACTCAAAGTGATGGTGTGTAGGAGGGGCATGGGGAATGGGAGGGTCGTACCAGAGGAAATTATGAGGGAGGGGGGGGGAGGGGTCGTACGCACGTGCTCCGTTCACGGTTCACCATTCCATGATTCACTGTTGGCACCACTCCAACAGTGTGGGGAAGAGCGTTCAAGCATTCAAAACCACGCAAGTAAGTCAGGGGTG